AACATTTGGATGGAAAGAAACAGAAGAGTTCATCTACAGCTCTTTAGAAGTGAGAGTACAATCCTTCATGAGATTCAGTTTGAGGTTAGAGCTAGAATGCTGGAGTTTGCTCGCCCAAGGTCTTCATCACTTCCTAAGGCTATTGCAATTCAATGGGGACTTGAAACTATTGTGACAGACTAGTTTCTAGGTAATAGTAGAATGTGTACTAACTATTGTGTATTTTCTTAGCCTTTTCTCTCTTGTAGCAACTCATGTGCTGCTTTATGTTGTAAGTATTTCTGGATAAATAAATTCACCTTTTATCCAAAAATAAAAAATAAAAAATAAAATTTTTTTGATAAAAAAATTATAATTATTAGATTGATATAAAAATTAACATATATAATATAAATTAATAGAATTTTCAATCAATAATTTTTAAAATATTAATTGAAATGTGAGTTTTTAGATGAATCTTTCAAAAAAAATTTAAAAGAATAACTTATACTACACTAATATCATATATATGTATATAAAAATATATATATATACATACATATATATATACACACACACGTAGTGTGGGGATGACATTTGAATTTTTCATGTATTTAAAAGATTAGATGTACATCATAAGCAGCTTAAAAAAGAGCTATTACCTAAGAAAGTACAAAATTACAAACTGAAAGAAAGGATAAGGTCTTGTAATTGAGTTTAAGCTCTTCACGATGGCTTCAAGGCCCCATCTCGGTGCTATAGTTATAGGGAGGCAAGGTGACTGGGGCTGGACAAACCTCATAATCTTACTTCTGACCTAAAACTTTCAGCTTTCACCATGAAAGCTGTTGATGGATTCCACAATTCCTCTCTATCCAAACATTGTAAACTATTGCATTCCATACTAGTGTAATCAATGAATTATATATGCAGGGATTTTCTCTTGATTTTCCTGCCAAGCCTTTCTAGTAAGTCTTACCGTGAATCTAGGAAGGATATCCAACATAAAACTGAGTTCTTGCCAAATGCATTTTTTGAGTAATTGCACTTAAAAAACAAGTGCATGCTTATTTGTAGTGCACTTTTACACAGGACACATGTACTATTTAAGGTATCTATCCATTGTTTCAGCAAAGTAGTGAGTCTATTAACAACAAGTCAGCTCACAAAACTATGTTTAGGAATTGCATCAACAAACCAAATCAATCTGAGGTTGCCTACTTTGATTTATGGTGTTTCCCGAAGCAGACATGGTGTGCTTCGAGTACATAATGGATTTTGGCTTCATAGTCCGTGCCCACCCAACAAACCTGCGGCTTTCTAACCTATTCCTTCACAAGAAATTATGCCCCTATCACACAAACCTGCCATTTTCGCGAGCAAAATTATAATACTTCTTTAGATCTCTCACTATTGCGAGACTTCTAATGCTGAAAGTAGCCCAACAGTAGGAGTCCTGCGATAGAGAGAGAAGAGGTAAGAAATTTTATTATTCAACTTATGATATCATTATATGTTAGAAATTTGTCTGTTATTTAAATATTTTTTAACAAAAATTTGATGCGATGATATAACAGTTAAATAACTAATAATTTATTTTAATTTATAATTAAAAAAAATAATTTATCTCTATATTTTTTAAGAGATATCCCTACTTTTCTATTTAAGAAATGGATTTGAAAGTTTTGTTCATAACATATCAATGAGCTAAATTAAGAGATTGAGTGAGGTAAAAGATGGAGTGAAAAAGTCTACTACGTGCAATTCAACATTAAAAAAAGGTTTTAAAAAGAGAAAAGATAGGTTTTAAATGCCTGTTTTTTTTTTTTTTTTTTTAAAAAAAAATTTAAAAAAGAGAAAAGATAGGTTTTAAATGCCTGTTTTTTTTTTTTTCCAACTAACTTATAATGGACCTAATAATTTATTATTAAATTTAAAATTTGGATTTAAATAGGAGTTTTACTTCCACCAGTAATTTCAAAAAATTTCCTTTTTTTAAAAAATTTTTCATGTTTAAAATAATAATAATAATAATAAATGTCAACTTTTTTCGAACGTCCTCTAAAAAACCAAATTATTTAAAATAGAGGTTTTTAGAACTTCCTCTTTTTCATTCTAAATTTTTTGTTTTCCAATTTACTTCGTGAATTCAGACCAATACCAAGTGTTGAATATGAATTTTTTTCTCGACAACCATCAGGACGCTCCCTCGATTCTCGGTCATCTCAGCTAGCAAATAAATAGCACATTTATCTGAGTGCACCCAATGTTTTGCGTGTTGGGTTGAGCTTTGCTGTGGTGATCGGAGTCGGAAGCATAGGCGTCTCGTGGCGGCTAAGAAGGCGTGCGAGTCCTTCTCTAAGAGCTTGATAGAGGAGGTCCACAGATGGAGTTGCCTGAAGCAGACGACGTGAGCTTCAGGTACATGTTGGAGTTTGGCTCCATAGTCCATGCCCACCCAACAAACCTGTTGCAGGAACTGCCCGTTGGGGATGTGCCCATAAGATGTGCATATCTTCCACTATCTGTAAGAGAAGTCCCAAAATATGGTCATGAGAGAATTCTACTCTGATGCTCTACCTTTCCCAGTAGTGGACCACATTCTGCAACTATTAACGCATCCCAAGAAGCCATGGCAAATCACATTTTTGGCTGCCTGGCTAGTGTGTTTAGTCAGCTGCCGCTATGAAAAGCTTCATGCGGATACAAATTCATCCTTTTGTTACAATTTCATTTGATTTGAAAGTATATAGTGGAAGCACCCTCAGCTTCCATCTATTAATGCTCTATTATTGGATGAAAATGTTTTCTTTACATCTGATTACTGTCATTTTCAATCTGCAGCATGTTCTGATGCCCTATGGGGAGCTTTCTTTCTCTTTGCATGGTATTTGAAATAAGTCAATCTCTTCCGAATGCTTAAAATGGATTTCAGGGTCCGTTGAGGTTGAAAAATGACACTATCTTGAAAAAATTATTATGGTGATGATGGTTACTTCCATACTGTTGTATTATTGGATTAATTAAAGGCTACAAAGAAGAAAATGTGGTTCTTATTTTCTAATGTTTCCAATGTACCCATTGCTACTTATTTTTTAAATTACGAACACATTGGTAATGCTCCCTTGTAACATCGGAATTGCATTTGATGATAGTTTGAAAAGTATTGTTATTAAGTTTTGGTGATTTCTTTTATTTTCATGCCAAAGGGAAAGTTTTTTCAGTTGACTAAGCTAATTGGCTGCCCCTTCAAACTGACCAGTTTTAAGTGATATGCATTCTCAGTTTCCTATAACATCATCCACCACAAGTCTTTGACCTGCTTCCTGCATTGTTGATGCAGCTAGGTTCTGGGAGCATTAATTCTTCATGTTGTTGCCCAATGCTTTCTAAAAGATTTCGTTTGCTTATAATTTCTTGACAGTTTTACAGAAGAGGGGTAAATATACATATAACAATGAACAGCTACAAACTGTGGACAATTTTACAACTAACATTAAACTTCATTTCAATGGTATAGTGGCCTCTGGTCTTTACCACAATGGAGGCCTTTCTATTACTATCATTCATATGGCATAAGTCTAAATTCTGGCTAGCATATAATATGATTAACAAAAATTTTACTTTGGTAGTTCACCTATAGTTGTGTATCAAACCTTCAGGTTCTAGTGGTACTATGTTCACAATGGTTTCTTGCACTGGCGGAGGAGTTTGTGATGAGCTAGCTTGTCTGCAACCAACAATCTTTTGGCAAGTCTCTATGAGGCAGTGCCGGCATGTAGGGCAAGATGAGTGTGAGCTAAGCCACTTATCAATACACCGGACATGGAATCCATGGTTGCACTTGGGCAGAAGCCGTACTCTTTCACCAGGGTTGAACTCTGATAGGCATATGGCACACTCTGTGTCCAAGCCGGGCAGCTTCAGATTGGCAGAGTAGTTTACTGTCAGAAAAGTTTTCAAGGCTTTTTGCTTGATACCTGTGTTGGCTAGACGAGCAGATGAATCTGCACCAGCCTCTGTGGCTACTAAACTTGAGCACCTTAAAGCACACCTAACGATGGAATTTAATCCCAGTGAGCAAATCAGGGCACACAAGAGGACTGAAAGAACCAGCACAACATTTGCATCAAAGGTGTTGTCACCAGCATAAACATCTGAAGAATTTTGGTTGTTTTCAGGTACTGGAGGAGCTGCTGCTGTTGGTGTTTGGTACAGTGGCTTATGCAATAGCAACCTTCTACTGTAAAAGTCTCCAAGCGGCTCATGAAGTAGTTGGATGGGTGTGGGAGCAGACATGGTTGGTAGAATTTGAGTCTTGGAGTTGGTTGCCCAAGGGAATTATTTATAGGGAAAGGTAAAGAGTTAAATTTTCATTCTGAGGCTTATCATGTGGTTCAATATATGAATTATGTTGAGAATATTCAGGGGGGATTTTAGTCCATGTTAGGACTTTATCTTTATTTTATATAGGTTTATAATCATGTTGATCCCCCACTGAACTTTAAGTACCTTCAATGGGTTTTCTTATCAAATTGGGTCTATCCCACCTTCTGCTGCACAGAAGATGCCACCTCGTATTTGCATTTCGTAAATCATATCTTGGAATGCTCTGCAGGACTCATTAATTGAGGGAGGAGCATTGAGGCCGGTGTCCATTCCTGTCTAGATAACTAGGATAATATGTTTCTAAATTTATTCAAGTTGGCACTTTACACTTATCGGGATAGAGAATTTGATTTGTGAATCTAGTTCCCATTTTTTTTTCCCTTCCAATATAAAATGAATATACCCCAAAAATGTAACAAAGTGAGATGCATGCCAAAATATCATTGAGTCAGACTCAACTAAAGTTGGTGATATTGATAACTCCTATCCATAGTCTGGTAGCTTGTCAAATTCATGGTCATTATTTCCTTTTGCTTCACAAGTTTGTAATTGCTTGGCTCTAAAAATTTCCCTTCCTTCATACGATGTGTTCCTGTAGTTTCTTTCTATTATCCTTCCCACCACCTCTTCCGTATGTTCCTTTTTATTGGTCTGCTTAGTATATGTGTAAACTGTACTATAAATTGAATAAGTGATAGTGGTTCTAATTAAAGGTATGCATTGATGCTAATAATATATAATTTGAGATGCATTAAAATTAGTGGCTCAGAAACGAGCAGAGTTGCTTAGCTTCTAGTAGAATTATTGTCATGTCAAACTAACTGTATTTTATTAAACAAACGATTATGTAAGAGCATACAAAGATTTTTCCTTTTTATTAAGATTTTAGAGAAGACATTGGATGGACTAACTGAGTGCTATTTACGTTTCTATAGTTATGAAGAGGAAAATGCAACTGATATGGAATAAACACGGTGCTTTCATGTGTTAGCCACTCTTCAATGAAACTGCTATCGCCATCCATTTGATGCCTATTTTCATTATTATTTATATTAAGAGTTGCTTTCTTATCTTAGTATTGTTTATATGATCTAGTGACGCTTAGGTTTGTCTTTAATCACTTTTTATCAGCCATCTAATCAGAATAAGGATGTAGAAAATGGGTCCTCTAGATTCCTTTTGTTATTTGATCTTTCTGCAGCGCAAGTAGATTATTGCAATCTAACTGAATCCAATAGATGGATTGCTGAGTGCTTGTGGCTATAAATTGGAGAAACATTCTTATCTTTTGAGATCTTTGGTCAATTATTCTGCCAATATCAAAAGTCAAATTGGTACCTGATGAAGGCGTCGAAAGGTTAACACATATTGTTAGAATCTCTATGTTATAATACAATTCTGTCAACAAAAGTGTTGCACAACAAATAAACTAATCCTAGGATGGCTATTATAGTTTTTAAGTGCAACTGGGGGTTGATTACTTGATTATTTGGTAGATTCATGTTCAAGAATTTGAGACAAGTGGAAGATACTCTTTTTTTGTTTTTAACTTCCTTAATCCATCCATTGCTAGGGTGGGAGCACAGAGAAAGTGTTCTCCTTAAACTTGAGAGATGCCTTTGTTTTGGACCGGCTGTACCCTTTGGATCCATATGTTTCTCCGGGCTGGATTTCACTAGGCTGATCTCTATCTGTGGACCCCTGAGAAGGGGGTATAATCTTTGTGTTGGAGAATAATGTGACCCATATGCTATTGTTTTAGTGGGGTGGATGGAGTGTGTTATGTTGTTATCTCTTGATATGAATGATTGTCTTCTCTATGATAATGGCATGGAAAAATAGAAAGTGGGGGGGAAGCACTAATAATTGAATAAAGATATTTTTGAGTTTAGAATATTTGAATAAATACTGGGGAAGAAATGTAAATATAAGTAAGGAATTTGCTTATAATTTGTGCAGGAGAAAGTGAAGAGAAGGATGGAGAGAAGCAAAGGATAGCAAAAAAGATTGCCATTCGCCTGATTGTTTTGAGGAAGAAAAGCCCTTTCCATCCTATATATTGCAATAGGAATTACCCCCTACTTTAGAAAAAGTTGTTAAAGAGTCTCCAATCTACTTGTATCAAATTGAAATTGAAATCAAACGGAAACAAGGAAGAAGACACTACTTACTTAGAAAGGTGCCAATAACTTAATTAGAAAGGTACCAATACACTGCATTGGCATGGCGACCACATCTATCCATCTTAGAAGTGTAGCGAGTTAGGCGTTACATTAGTGGTCTACTTGCCTGCACTTGTTTAGGCATCTATTTTACTTGTTTTAAGGACTTGATTTGTGTGGTTCTAGATTTGAATCCCCTACTCCCAGTTTAATGCATGCGTAAATATTGCAAATATAGAACAACTGTGGCATTTTTTTTTTTGTTTTTGGGTAATGAAGCGGGCTAACAAGGAATTTGGGAGAACCTGATTAGTCTACTACCTCTTTTCGTAGTTTCACTCTCAGAACTTGACCTTGTAACTTATTTTGAAATGTTCGATTATAGCGAACCATGCTGTCGATCAGGGCCTTGAGCGGAAAGAAAAGGAAAATAGTTAAATATTGAAAATGGATGTCAAGAAAGCACATGTTGATAACTGTATTAGCTTTGGCTGCCTCAAACTAATTTTGTTTATTCCATGATGAAGCCTCTTTAAATAAATGTTACTTTTTAATATGCTTGTCTACATATACATTGCACATTTCAGTCCTGCAGAATTTGATAATGTTATTGGCTGAATGTTACTGATCCAATTAGATAATTTTGCTTGTTAGACCTTTCAAACAGGTTTTGTGGTCTTTACTAACAAGAAAATGAAGCCAACAGACAAAAAATTGCTAACTTTGCCGTTGTTATATCAATAGTCTGTACCTGTCTTTCCTTACCATAAATTATGCACGTGTTGACTGAGTAAATGCTGTGTGCTTTCTTGCATAGAAGGAGAAAGCTCCAACGAGCTATCCTTGCTGCAATGAACAATCTTCTGAGTTCTGGCAAGTTTTCGTTAGGCGGTACCCACAAGGAAGGCATGAGGGATGCGAGCTGAGACATTTGTTGATGGAATGAAATTGGAATCAGTGGCTGCAGTTGCGAAGAACCCGGAGATGTTCCCTCGTTGGAAATCTCGGGTCCAAGGCCTGGCAGTGCCAACTTGTTTTCCTGTTTTCAAACCATTTCCATTTCCTGAAAATTTTGATTTCCATTCTCATCTTCCAAAAAAGTCTGTCAAGCACATTTTGTCTTCTATGGAAACGAAAGGAGAAAATGGTGTTGTTTTCTCTTCCCAGACATTTCTAAAATATAGAAACTTCTCAGAACAGGCAAAAGGGACACTTTAGGCTAATAACTTATAACCTTAGGATGACTGGGAAATTGCAAAACTAATCGAACGTGTTTAGAGCATGTACAATGGTGTTCTTTTTTATTGTCTTTTTTCTTTTTCTTTTTTTTTTTGTCCTCAAAATAGAATAGAGATAGAATTCTTTTATTAAAAGTGTATTTTTTAAAAAATTTTATTTTTTATACAGAGAACAAATTCACTTTTAATATTTTAACATTTTAAAATGTTAAAATAAATAAAAAGCACTGTAGCAGCCCACATTTCATGTGATCGACATCTTCTCTTTTTTTTCTTTAATTCAAAATTTATTTTATTTGAATATAAAATATGTAAGTCAAATAAAATAATCTTGATATAATTTTTAGTGAAGCTCTATGCATTGGAGGATATGTGCTTTATTTGATAGTTAAATATATAAAAATATGATTTTGTACAAAATAATATTAATGGTAATGATGTAGTATTAAAGTGAATTTTTTTATTATTTGTAAATGCTCTTAGCGTGGATCTTGGAAAGGGCACTGTGCTTTCTATCTATTTGATTAATTTTATTAAATTGATAATTAAATGAAGAGATTTTTTAACTTGTGCCTTAAGTCTTATTAATTATAGTATTTATAATTAATTTTATACAAATTTTTATATAAAAGTTAAATAAAATATAATATAATAATATAATATTTATACTTAGAATTTATAAAAATATATGAATTTAATATAAAATTTTATATAAAATTAATTAAAAATATTATAGTTAATGGATTTTAACTTGTACTTTTTAAATATAAGTTAGGTAAATTTTGAGGCAAATAGTTTAACCTAGAATCCAAGTATCAATCCAACTTGTAAGTCACAAATCTTTGGTATTAAGGGTTAAATTAACATTAATTTTCTCTCTTCACCAAGCAGTGCTACGTGCATTTAAGACCTTATTAGTCCCTTTCTTTTGTAAGAGAAAATACTCGAGCCAATCATGTCTAGAGTGCAAGCTCACTCAGCAAGCATTTCCCATCTTTATCAGTACTCCCCAATCATCAATGAAAGCCAGCCCATCAGCATTTCGCATGAAATCTGAAGATACAAAAAATCTTTGCTTTTATTCTGTACTGAGCAGTACATCCAATGAAGGCACCATCTTTTCCCCAACCAAGTATGCCAGATTCCGTCTGTGGGTTGTTAATGCACAAATTAACTATAGTAGTTGACTTTTTCTTTATCTTTTACGTCTGCTCATTAAGTCAATTTGGTGGCTTTCAAACTCAGGCACATTATATCGACAATTTAGTAATTTAAGTGAAGAAATTTAATTTTTTAAAGTAAAAATTTAAATTTAAACTTTGTGAATAGAAGAATAAGTATTAAAAAAATTTATGGATCAACTATTAATTTTAAGAATAAT